TGTTGTTGTTGTTGTTGTTGTTGTTGTTGTTGTTGTTGTTGTTGTTGTTGTTGTTATACAGCAGAGCTTTTCATGCGGGTGACTTCAATTGGGCTTTAAAAAACAAGCAAACATGAGAGACCTTTTTAAACATTTGAAATAACTATTTCAGTCAGAGAGGCAATCGTTGTATAGATGATCTATGACAGGGCTATACAAGTGAGTCTGCCTGCTAATAACGTCATTTAATATAAAAATAGATTTTAAATAATAAAGAATATAGATACAGTATTCCCTTGTTAATCGTGGGGGATCCATACCCTGAAGCCCTGCGATAAGTGAAAAACTATGAAATAGAAATAGTAGTACAAGTAGTAAGTAGTAATTTTAGTATGTGCATATATATATATATATATATATATATATATATATATATATATATATACTCTTGCAATATTCTAATAAATGTTTCTAAACTTAAACGCTCTAAAAGAGCACAGCATGTCATGATTTGAGCTCTCTGCCTCAGTTGCTCTCAGCCATCTTCAAGTAGAGTTGCACTCGGGTCCAAATAATCCAAATCGACTCGGCCCCAGCCATCATCTCCAAACTCCACCTGATCAGATGAATTAACAGTAATTACAGGTCCGAACCAACTATTATTAACGGTTGGCGGACGCGCGTGGCTGAGTAAAGGGGACAGAAGATCGGAGCTGAGGAGCCATCAAAGCGCATTAAATGCTTCCCCTGCTTCTCCCTGCATTGGACCCTGCTCTGATATGTCGTTTATTTTGTGATCTCACCTGTTTGGGTCGTCGGCCGTGCGCGTCCGTTGAGCGCTGCAGCTGAATGAACGTCCATTTGGGCTGATGGATCATCAATCAACCAATTTTGTGTCATGTCCAATCATATTTTGAAAAACCGTGATAGAGCGATTCCTCTATAAACGAACCACAAAGTAGCGAGGGACTACTGTACAGTGAATTCCTGCAAAATCGCAGTTCAAAGTTCACAGAGCCTAATTCATAATTGCTCGTGGAAACTGGAAATATCCGTAATTTATAGCTTTTTTATTTATTTTTTTGTGTTAAAATATGATTTTTCATGCATTTTAAAGTTAAATTGTTAAGAACAATGTAATTTGCAAATTTTGTGATAAACATTAATGTAAATTTATGTAATTTTCACTATTACAAAAAATACTGTGACGCCTGCTCTTTGCCCTCCAGCAGATACAGCCCAGCATTTTTAGACAGCATATTCTGTCAGTGCTGCCGATTTCATGATGAAGTCTGACCTCGTCTTCAAATCAGCTCTTAAAAATAAAAATCCTGCTTCCTGTTTACTGAATGCACAACCTTAAGGCCTCATTTACCAAAATCCTCATTTGAAACTGACATTGCTTCATCCCTCAAGCTAAGGACAACACTGAGGCATGGACTTCAAGGTGTTGCAAGGTGAGCAGATCTGATGTAATTATTGTTTCTTTCTGTTTTTCCTAAAGGTGAAATTTGCCACTCCTCAGAGGACTCGCAGATTTTCTGATGACTTCCTGTCAGACGAGTTGAGCAGCCCTGATTCTGACACTTTCAGCCCGGTGCCTCTGGATAAGTCCCCATCGGAAGCTCCTGAGAGTAAACTGGTGATATTGTTGGAGGATTTTTATTATGGCTGCGCCAATGGAGTCGTCTCAGACAAGCTTCTAGATGAGAAGTTCAATCGACCATTTCGCTGCATCCACTGTTCCGAGACCTTCTTCAACAACATCAAGTGAGATCTGCATAAGTGTTGAATCAAACTCGCACATGCAATAACTTTTTTCAATGGTTTGTTTTCCTTTTAAATATAAAGATGATGCTTTTGCTGATTAGAGAAGGATTACACCAGACATCTGCTAAATTAGCTTAAGGTCTGCTCTTTGCAGTGATTTGGGGATGCTTCACTTTTGTTGTGTGAATAAAGCATGAAGTCTGAATGTTTGCTGTGTGTTCTGCAGGTTGATGGATCACATCCAGCAGCACACATCAGAGTTGACTCAACAAAAAAATGATATGGACTCGGTGTCCTTCTGTCCCCACTGTTTCCGAAATTTCCCGTCTCCGTTCAGGCTGCAGTGCCACATGGAGGTTGTTCACAGCCAGCGCGACTCAACAGGTCTGTTGACGCAAAAAACCACATTCCGTATTTTCCACCGTACACGTCGCTCCGCCCTATAACTCGCATCAGTCCAAATATGACTAATAAAGTGGAAAAATAAGTTGCAGGGCATGAAAATTATGCAAAAAAAAAGTGACTTATAGGCTGAAAAATACGGTAATTTAATTAAATCATGAATTCTGGCTTTTCCATAAATGCATTTTAAATGTTTTAAAATACTTTAACGTAGCCTTAGGCAAATTAAAACTTTGAACTTTTGCTGCGTACAATTGACAATTTCTGCTTTTTTTTATTTGTTTGTTGCAGTGACGTGTAAGATCTGTGAGCTGGCGTTCGACACCGAGCCAGCCTTCATGTATCACATGAAAAACACTCACAAACCGGGAGAGATGCCGTACTCCTGTCAGGTTTGTCACTTGGTGCCAGTAACAGCCGCCTTCTTTCACCTCAGTCAGTTTCTCATGAGCCCGCTGAGACTTCTCTCTGTCTGCAGGTGTGTGACTACCGCTCGTCCTTCTACAACGACGTCTGGCTTCACTTTAGGGCAGCTCATGCCGACACTAAAAACCTGCTGTGTCCTTACTGCCTCAGAGTACTGCGCCTTAACGTGTGCTACCAGAAGCACGTTGTCCGCCACCAGGTACGCACACACTGCACATCACCTGGTCAACACCAAACTGCTGGTGTCTTTAAACAAGTCCTGACTGTGTTTTTATGTCTGTGTGTCTCCAGAAGAAACACGTTCTCAGCTGTAACAAGTGTCGTCTTCACTTCCTGTATCTTAAAGAGCGCATCGAACACATAGAGCTGCATCACAAAACTCACGTCACACCTCCTCAGCTCAGCGGACTCAAACCTGGAACCAGGGTACACCTCATCTCTGTTCCTGCTCCTACTGTCTCTACTAAATAGAAATGTGGTGTCATGAACAGAATCCAGAAAATCTGAGCCCAGAATCTCAGATTCCTTCAATGAGCTGGTAAAAGATGAACATTTTTAGGAAGTGCTGTGTAATCTTCTACAGTCAGTTCCTGCAGGAAACTGTTGATCAGGCACCATCGTCTCACAGTCTGGAAGAAAAACTTTAAAACCTTCATGAAGCAACAGATTGATAACTACTGAGACTCACAAAAAATGGTTAAATTACTGAACTTGCTCTACAATTTTAAGTAGAATCTTTTTATCTGAACAAGGAGAAACTTTTTTGTCAGAGTCAGAGTTTCTTTATTGTCATTCGCACCTCATGTGGTACATGTGGTGGAGCGAAATTATGTACACAAGGTCCCAGTTACATCCAACAATAAAATGTCTAAGAAAAACAATAATAACATCTAAGATATGAACTAAGAAAAACATCAACTAAATATACACTAAGCACTCATAACATAAAACATTGAACATCAGCACGAACATGAACATGAGTCTGTGAGCAGATGTGCACGCATGAACACATCAACACTGAAACAGATCAGCAGCAACATGAAGCAACATGAAGCATCCACTATTGTGATCCATTGTTCTTCTGTAGGTTTTTCTGCATCTTTCTCGTTCCACAGTGTTTGTGCTATTTCAACAAACCATAAATCAAAACGTTCAGCTCGTTCAGGAGAAGGGTGCTCTGACTTTTGGTGTTGGTGCAACTTTAGCTTTTTGAAATATTTAGCCTTTTCTGCCACTCTTTTCTCATAGAAAATAAATTGAGCTCATTTTACATCCTTACAATCTCTAGATCTGTTTACAACCTTTTACCGCTCCTTTCACTTTTTTCAGCTAATTTCAGCATTTGTTTTTCAGCTGTTTTGTGCTACTTTCAGATTCTTTCTGCCAACTACAATATTTTTGTGCTTCTTCAACTTCTTGCTAACTTCAGGTTGTTGTGCTCCTTTCAGCTTTTTTTATGCAAGTTTCAGCTGTTTCAGCTACTATTTAGCTGTTTTATGCTAATTTTAGGTTTTTTGGCTAATTCCACATTTTTGGCACACTCAACTTTTTTCAGCCTAATTCAGAAAAAATATGCTCTCTTCGCTTGCTTCTGGCAATTTCAGCTGCTTTCAGTTTTTTTAGTAAATTGTCAGCTGTTTTTTTTATTTATTATTATTATTATTTAATTTCAGCCTTTTTCAAATAATTTCTTCTTTTTGTGCTTATTTCTGCTTGTGTCAGCCTACGGGTAATTGGACGAATGTGTTCTTACTGTTTTCTTCTGGTAATTTAAATGGGTAACTTTTCAGCTAACTCTTTAGCATTTTTAGCTAATTTCAGCGGTTTTCTGATAAATTCCAAGTTTTTGTGGTGATTTTTGCTACTTTCAGCCTAATTAAGCACCTTTTTTTTTTGTTGCCTATTTAAGCTTGTTATGCTCCTTTCAGCTTATTCAATCCTTAAGTTAGTCCAACTCTTATTTAGCTGTTTTTATGCTAATTTTAGCATTTTCAGCTAATCCCACATATTTTGCATTTTTTAAAACCTTTTTCAGCCTAATTCACCAAAAATGTACTCTCCACTTTCTACTGGTAACTTATGTGTCTTTTTGCTGTTTTAGCTACTTTTCTGCAGTTTTTTTGTTTTGTTTTTTCTAATTTCAGCTTTTTTCAGCTAATTTCTACTTGTGTTAATTTCTGCTTCTTTCAGCATAATTGGGCAAACATATTCTTTCTGCTTTCTTCTGCTTATTTAGCCTTGTTCTTCTATTTCAGCTACATTTCAGAATGGTTTTTTAGCTAATTTTAGCTGTTTTTCAGCATTTTATTTTGCATTAAGGATTCACACTGCATTTTTGCAGGAAATTCAATTTGTCTAGTTAAAGCTTAGTTTAAGTTGAGTATCGTATGATGGACCGAAGCTTTCCACCTTTACTGAAGTGTTTGGTTTGTGCAGGTAACGGTCAGGACGTACTCTGGGAATGGAGCGTCTGACGCTGAGGAAGCACCAAAGAAGCCGTTTGTTCCCTGCAAGGTCAGCGTTGATACAGCCACTGATTTTAAAGCACAAGCTGAGTTTTGGAGACATTACAGATGTTTTTATATTTTGTATAAAATCTAATTTTAAGTCTTAGTAAGTTATTTTTTTCTCTGTTTTATGTAGTCAAGCTTTTTTGAGTTTTGATGTATTTTCATGATGATGCTGAGTAAGTCTGATTGATAAGAGGAGGAACACGTCTAAGAAGTTATTAAAACACTTTTTTTCCCCCTCCAAAAAATACATTGCTGAAATTTTTAGTAAAATATTTGTAAAAATGCAATTTATAGTAATTTTCTCCTGCTGGAATAATTAGGAGCTGCACGGCTTCTTGCATCTGATAACTCAGATTTCTGATGAAAACATATTTTTTTTATTTTAACACCTTTACTTAAACAATGCCTGGAAAAGCATGCACAGATTAAATTAGATGTTGTTCTTGAATCCTTTGAAATAAATGCAAAAACAAGGTGTCTCTGTAAAGGTAACACTCGTGAGTTGTTAACCTCAGCAGTTATAATTATTATATATACAACTACCGTAGTAAATAGTACTCAGTGGATAATATTGGCTCCGGAGAGGCCGTGGATCAGAAGAAAAGAGGTGTCATTCAAAAGGCCTGTTTGGACTAGTATGCAAACAAGTCTAAATATTCTGTGGTATTTTTGCTTGTCTATGTTAAATCTTTGGTATTTGTCATTTTTGTGGTATGTATTAGTAATATCTATACATTTCCTGTCAATCTTTACATTGGTGTACCCTTTGGCTTCTGTTTTCCAGGTGGTCGAGGTCACACCACCCCCTCCACAGGAAGATGTCAAAAGGAAACCATTTGAGAGTCTGGGGTCGCTTCTGTCTGGACTGAGTGCTGAAGGGTATAAATCCTGGTTTTATAAATCCTGATTCTATAAATCCTGGTTCTATAAATCCTGATTCTTCAGTGAAACTTCATTTCAAAACCACACAAGTCAAACCTGAAGATGTTTTGATTGTTTCACTTCCTCTGGCATAAAAATGAATTTGGGGAGCACAGTGGCTCAGTGGTTAGCACTGTTGCCTCACAACTAGAAGGTCCTGGATTGAATCACCGGTTTGGACCTGGGGTCTTTCTGTGTGGAGTTTGTATGTTGTACTCGTGTTTGCGTGCATGTTAGTCTGCCTTCAGGCCCAGACCTCCCTCACAGAAGAGATCTGTTATGTCAGTGGGATTTTCTTGGTTAAATAAAGGTAAATAAATAAAACATCTCTAGAAAACAGTATTTAGAATATCACTTCTCATTGAAATAAATACAGAGGGAAAAATGTAGTATATAAAATTTATAATTAAAGAACCTGCTCTGACCTGAAAAAAATCCCTCTTCTTATTTAACGTTTTTCCCTCAATAACGCTTCAGTATTTATTACAATTTAAAACAAATAGTTTTTAGTTTACAGCTGTTTTTGTTTCATCAGCTGTGAAAGTGTTTCCATGTTCTAGTAAAACTAGAAGAAAATATCAAAACTAAAAAAAAAGCATCAAATTACTGACACGAAGCTTTTTTAAACTTTAAGAATGTTTGTTTGCTGCTTTTTAAACTGCTCGTCTTGTTCGAAAAGTTAATTAAATGATTAATTTCAGTAAATCGCGTATCGTATTTCCTGTTGATCTGAAACCAAAAGGTTGAAACTTGTCTGAAGGAACTCCTCATTGCCAGTATTTGTCTCCCAACATTCGTTTCCAACAATCGTGTGATTCACGTGTGAAGTTTTGAAGCTTATGGGGTTCTTGAGTTTAAAACTCCCTCTGCAGCAGTGAAGCCGTATTTTCTTTTATTTAATGATGAACAGCTTCTTAACTAAACACCAGGGAGCTGTGATTAATAACTTGGACCGTTTACGAATCTCCAACTGTAAATGTATAAACGTTACTTAATTTACTTTCATAGAAAATGAGACGTTCATGCACCACGTTTGATTTACACTTAATTTTGTTTGTTCTATAGTAATCCCATAAAAATGTTTAAAAAAAAAAAATCCCCCTTTGGTTCTTAGACTTTAACAAGTGAGCGACAAATCAAAGTAGTTTTATGTATAAATGAGTTACTTCAATGTAATAAAAACAGGAAGTATGAAATTATATTTATTACTATTTAAAAAGAATACACTTAAAGGCATAAACTTCTTAATTTCACTGTTTGGCTGATTTTGCAGTGCTAAAAACTGCATTTGTGTAACTTGTCTTTCCATCACCTGCACAAAAACGTCCTGAAAGTTTTCTCAGTGAAGTGTTTTCCTCTTTGCGTTTCAGGGATTTGGGCTCCTCTCAACGCTGCATCGAGTGTCTGAATTCATTCCCAGACCTCAAGGTTCATTTCCCAACTCTGGTTAACTGCTCGCTCTGCAAGTTCTCCACCTGCTGCTCCAACTCCTACGCCAACCACATGATCAAGTACGTCCACACTTAAGCAGGGGTACAGAAACCTGCCCTCCTTCAGGAACTGTGCCATTTGTTTCACAAGCTGACACGGTTTCAGGAAGTTTTATCAAAATGTATTGGGGTCGAAATGCAATATTACATCAACTGTGTTTTTTTCAAGCTGTTTTACCAGCAGCTTATTTTCAAACGACTTCGTGAAACGTTTGAATGCACTCCGTCTTTCCTGTTGTTTCTTTAAGGACAGAATTTACACTCAGTAACCCTAAAACGAGCTCTGACTTTCAGCCAAATACTTTTCTACTACAGGCAACTAAAGAGCCAAGCACAGACTGTAAAGTATTAGAAAAACAGACTTTACTTTGAAATGTATATAGTTGATCGCGATTCACCTTTTTGGCCCCAGAAATGAAAACATCACAGATAGAAGTGCTGAGTGACAAACTGATCACCTAGACAGTATTTTAACAACTTGTTCTCATTTTGTATATTTTCTGTCACATATTGGCTCCACAAACTTCATTAGTCTGTGTTTTCTTTAACGTTTAAAGGGCTAACAATAATAAATATTTCATCCTGTGCTTAAAAATATGTTAATCTTTTTTTGTCAGGATATAACCTATTAGACAAAACATTGTTAGAACTTCCATTTTATCTGAAATGTAAAATAATTTACAGCAGCTGGCGGCCCGCGGTCCACTCCCGGCCTGCTGGTGACTTCAGTAAAAAATAGAAAAATAAAACATCCGTGAGCGGGACCTTTAAACAATGTGATATGACAAATATTTCAGTGAGTGAGGCAGTCCTGCTATCTGCCCGTCTCAAATTTCACGAGCATACAGGAGAACAATTCTCCACTGTTCTTCACTGAGGACACTCGCTGTTTAACCTGCTTTCCTCTTTATATGTACCGGGAACAACCTCCGACTTTCTACGCTCAGAAACATCAAACAGTCAGAAACATCGTAAACATCAGAAACATTACTCATGTAATTTCCACAAGGCTACCCAGCATGCTTTGCAGCTCACACAGTCCCTCTGGGCTCTCACAGAGAGAACTTTGTGAGTTTGGGGGAAAATAAAACAAAGTTAAACGGAGACACAACTTTGATTTAATCTGTGGCCTACAAATATTTGTTTTGGTCTTAATAATGTTTAATTGTAAGAAGTAAATTGGCAGAAACACGAGTCGAAAGGCTTCGTGCTCTTCGAAAGGCTTTGTGCTCTTGTGGGGGGGTGCGCTCCTTTTCTCCTGCTGTGTGGGGAGTTCTGATAAACTGATCATATCAGTGTGTGATCGCCTGCGAGACGGATTAAACAACAGATTTATTACTGGGGGAATAATGTTGTTGACGCACAGCAGCTTTTTAGTTAGTTTACAAAAATAGTTAACCACAAATAGGATGGAGTAAGTGACTTATCGTAATTCCATCCATCCATCCATTTTCTTTACCCGTTTATTCCATTTTGGGTCACGGGGGTCGCTGGTGCCCATGTCCAGCAATCACTGTGCGAGGGGCGGGGTACACCCTGGACGGGTCGCAAGTCCATCACAGGGACACATAGAGACAAACGAGACAAACAACCATTCACTCTCTCACTCACACCTAGGGACAATTTAGAGTTACCAATCAGCCTAACATGCATGTTTTTGGTCTGTGGGAGGAAACTGGAGTACCTGGAGAAAACCCACGCATGCACGGAGAGAACATGCAAACTCCACCCAGGAAGGCCCCTGGACCGGGGTTTGAACCAAGGACCTTCTCGTTGAGAGGCAGCAGCTCTACCAGTTGCCTTATCGTAATTCATTTTAGTAAATAACATGAAGGAGACCTTCTCACGTCACGCTCGCTTTCAGCCCGGCTGAGTTCTGCTCCGCCTCTTTTGATTCCACTCACACCTGAGCAGGACGTGGACGCTTCACCTGTGATTTATGAAGCGTTTGAGGAAGAACTGGTCTGTGCAGTCATTTAATTGTAAATGTGGACTGGTTCTTAATGGACCCACTTGGAGCATCGTGTTGGTTATTCAGGGAACATTAAAAACGAAAAAGCATAAAGATTTGGCTACTCAGAGATGGTAATAATATTTTTGTTAAATAGGACATATAAAAAAGGGTGTCATTTTTGTTTTTATTATTTCTTCACATTAAAATATCACTATTTTTATTGCAAGGGAAAAATTTTAACATGTAATTTATTTGAATTAGAAGTTACTCAGCAAAATAAGTACATTTAAAAGGTAACATATTGTAATACTTGGTTTATTTACATAATGGATTTAGTTGCTGGATGTGCGGCCCCTGAGCAGTTTACTGGAATAGCCCTGGTTTACAGTGATTAACTAGCAGAAGTAACGTTTAAACTTTCAGCTCAGAATACTGAGAATAGCTGAAGTTGAAAATATTGATGAGAAAACCTTCAAGGGTTTGTGAATGTTTTGTTTTCAGACTTCTTAATATACTTTTGTAGTTTTTTATTTGGACAGTATTTGTCATTTTTGTGTTTTTGTGTAAAACATGCTATGGTTATAAACCATTGTTCTTCTAATTTAATGTTTTTTTTTTTAGTAATCACACCAACATGGAAGCCTCCCAATTCGCCACCATTTTCCTGCCAAATCCAAGGTAGCCAAAAGGGTCTGATCAATACAGATCAACTGAATGTGTCTTGTTGTGCAGACATTAAAACTAATCTGTTTTTGTGTTTGTTTTAGTTCTTCACAGATGTTACGATGCTCATCGTGCCAGTTTTCCACCTGCAAAGGAGACGCGATGGCCATTCACCTGACAGAGAGACCAGATCACGATTGCGTCATGGCACCAGAGGACAGACTGGTTTCCATCAAGTCAGCAGATGAAGGTAAGACACAAACACACACGTTGTTGATGATGCATTCAGGTGTCAATCCATCCCTCAAGCTAATTTAGGAATCTAGTAGTGCGTGTTTAACTTTTTTTGTTTTAAAATCAAGAGAATATGCAGTTAATGGCAAAAACCTAAAGCAAACTAGTTTGAAGATGAAGTTGTTAGTGTGATTGTATGTCGGGTCGAGGTGAAGAGGCTGAATAATTCTGCATTGTCATTTATGAGCAGACCACCACATGGCGCCAGAGTAAAATGTTTTAACTACACCTGTGGGGCTTTGAATAATCCAGTTTGTAGATTTTATTGTTGAACTTGTTTGTGAATGATTTTTCTGCTGTGAAAGTGAACGAAACAATTTAAGTAAATAAATCCCCTTTTTCTTGTTTTGTTGTTTTTCCAGACTCGAGTCTGAAACAAGTCGTTAACTCTGAAAGGTAAATACACGAAACTGAAACATTTGGATGAAACCAGCACTACTACTACTAACACTACCATTTTCAGCTTCTAGAGGGCCCTTGACTCATATGGCAAGCCAAGTGTCTCATTAATAGGTAAAAGTGCCTATTAATGAGACACTTGGCTTGCCATACAAAGTCACCTTTGACTCGCTCTGGAACTCCTGGAGCAAATGTCAAATAAGATGAATTTCACCAAAATGCAGCTGATTTGACCATTAAAGTTAATTTATTAAGGAAAAGTTCAACTGAGACACACCTTTACTATAATGTTGAACAAACAAAAAATTGTTTTAGACGGTTATCTTGTTAAATTTCGAAGAAATGCACAGCGAGTCGTCCCGTGCATGCGCTTCCTTCCGCGTATCGGCTTTTGAAATGCAGCTGATTTGGCCGTCAAAGTGCAAATAATTGTTTTTAAATCTTGTTAAATTCTTGTTAAAATCCTCCCGTGCACGCTCCCGCGGCCACCATTTGGCAGCCAGTCGATTTTTGGCACAACACCGGCCCATGTTTCCGGGTTGTCAGCAGTGACAAGTAACAAACGCGACGCGTCAGTGGTGATTCATAACGGATGCAACGTATAATGCAAATCAACAAATTTATGGATTTTTCCACTTTATTAGACATATTTGGACTGATGTGACTTATAGGGTGGTCAGACGGGTATACGGTAATCACAATAATAATGTTGTGATCATATATAAAATCGGTTTGCATACATAAGCTAGAACAAACCAAAACAAACTGTAATCCTGAGTTTAATCTGTAGTTCGGCTCATAACTTTCTCCAACACTGAGTTGAAGATGTGAGTGTAAATATTGGTGCTCAATAAATGGGTTAAGACAATAATGCACAATTCAAAGTAGTTTTTTTTTGTCACTCTTTCAGTGAAAACACATCCAGTAAGGGACATGAAGGCTTCATCCCGATTCAGCTTGGTCAAATGTCCCCCCAGCTGTCAGTCAAACCCCTCCATTTCCCCGCCCCCTCATCCTTCAAACCAGCCATGACCATCAAGTTTCTCAGGTCCGGACAGGTGAGATGAAACTCTGACGAGCTGCCTGCGATGATTTGGTGATGATTATTAACTTTACTCCTCCTCCTCAGCCCAAGGCCCCCTGTCTGTCTCTGTCCCAGCTCTCTGTCGTCCTCTCGTCTCTGTGTCACGGCATCTCAGAGACGTCTCGCCGTTACAAGACGTCTCCTGCGACCATCCGGTCCTGGATTGCGCAGCAGCAGCGCGGCCTGGCGCACAGGAAGTGGTGCTGGAGGACAGACAAGATGGCGGAGTGGGTTCTGAACCGGAGGGAGCAGCAGCTGATCGTGGGAGAGGACATCCTGCTGCTGACGGCCAAGGCAGCGCTCGGCGAGGGCGTCAAGGAGGAGGAGCGTTACAGCTGGACGATCGACTTCATGCTGAGGCACGACCTCGGACTGCAGACCACAAACAACAACAAGCTGAAGAGCATACAGGACAACAGCCGCACGTTCATCCATTCACTCTACGCACGGGTCAGCTGCTGGCTTGTCAAATAAAAATAAAATCATGACGCTTCGTTTGAGTAAAGTTAGACCCCGTCACAAGAATAATGTGTGTGAATGTTTATGAAGCATTCAAACTGTTTTTCTTCCGTACGTTTTTCAACATCTTTCTTGTTCCACAGTTTTTGTGCTATTTCAACAAATCAGAAATCAAAATGTTCAGCATGTTCAGGAGAAGGGTGCTACGACTTCTGTGTTTGGTGCAACTTTGGCTTTTTGAAATATTTAGCCTTTTCAACCCCCCCCCCCCCACACACACACACACACACACATAGAAAATGAATTGAGCTCATTTTACCTCCTTCACATCTTTAGATATGTTTTCAACCTTTTACTGCTCCTTTCACATTTTGTTCTACTTCAGCTTCTTTCAGCTTTCTTGTGCAAATTTAAACGTTTTCCAGCTACTTTCAGCTGTTTTTTCAGCTGTTTTGTGCTCATTTCAGATTCTTTCTGCTAACTACAACATTGTTGTGCTTCTAACTTCTTTCTGCTCATTTCAGTTTATGTTTCATTCAGCTTATTTCTTCAAGTTTCATCTTTTTCTGCTATTTCAGCTACTATTTAGCTGGGGGGTTTTTTTCCCCTAATTTCAGCTTTTTTTCCAGGTAATTTCCACATTTTTGTGCTTATTTCTGTGTTCTTTAAATTTAAGACTGTTCTACCTTTCAGCTACTTTTTTTAGCATTTTTTTGTTAATTTCAGCTGTTTTCAGATTAGTTCAAGTTTTTTGTGGTAATTTCTGCTACTTTCAACCTAATTAACTTCTTTATGCTAATTTCAATTATTTGTGCTCCTTTCAGCTTTTTCTGACATTTCAGCTACTATTTAGCCTTTTTTGTGCTAAATTTAGGTTTTTTCAGCTAATTCCACATTATTTGAGCTCATTTCAGCTCCTTCCGCTTCCTTCTGGTAGTTTCTGCTTCTTTCTGCCTTTTCAGCTACGTTTCGGCTTTTTTCTTTGCTAATGTCAGCGTTTTTAAACCTACCATAATTCTGCAAATATGTGTTCTTTCTGTTTTTTTCCCACTAATTTAGACACTTTCTGCTGTTTCAGCTACATTTCAGCATGTTTTTAACCAATTTGAGCTGTTTTAGCAGATTCTTGAGCAATAAGCATTCACCTCATTTTGGCAGGAAATGCAATTTCTCTAGTTTTAGATGTGTTTGCACCTTTCAGCCACATCTTCAAGAAATGTCCGAGACATTAACATCATTTGACTTTAGTGTTATTTGCTGCACATCTTGTATTGATTGAACTTCTCTGCTCTCAGATCCAGAGTGGAGTTCTGCCTCTTCACTGCTGGGGCTGCATGGACGAGCTTCCTGTCTTCATCGACTCTGACCTTTTCTCCAAACAAAATTCGGCGTCCTTCCAGCTTTTCGGCTCACTCGAGGACAAGCCCACGTTTGACATAATCATCTCGGCTCTGTCCGACGGCTCCTTCCTGCCCCCCCTGCTGTTCTTCACGGGAACTGCATCAGACATTCCCGAGGGGTTTCCTGACAACGTGCTGCTGAATGCCCGAAAAGAAGGATTTACTGACGAGGACCGTCTGGAAATCTGGATTGATAAGGTCTCCGACTTTAAAGTTCATACAAGCAAGAAAACAGTTTGAACAGCTTTAAGGGAAAGACAAGCAAGTAAAGGAAGAGTATTCTTGAGGCATTAATAGAAAAGCTGGTCGTTTGAGTTTGTGTGGTAGTGTCTTCGATTTTCTCTGATGGTTACACAAAATGTTGCTGTGGCAGTCATGTGACTTCCTGTCTGCTGCCATCCTCCCCGTCTCTGCAGGTGTGGCGCTCCCGCGTGTCTTCGAAACATAACCGCAATTCTCTCCTGGTGGTGGATGTCCATCGAGGTCACCTGAGCAACAAGTTTAAAGAGGATCTGTCCACCATAGACACAGACCTCGCCTGCATCCCACCAGGCTGCAGCTGTCGTCTGCAGCCGCTCGAGATCTGTGTGACGCAAGTGCTAAGAGACTTCCTGCAGGTAAATGTCTCACCTGTTAGGCTTCGACACCGGTCTGATTTGCTGGTGTGGAGCTCTGACGCTATGGTTATTGTTACTTCAGGCGCGGTGGACTCAGCTGGTTTCTGACGAGGGTCTGGATGGTCTGGGACTGGATCAGCTGGCTCTGACTCTAGCCTGCTGGCTCAGCGAAGTTTCGTTCATTCTGAACTCACAGATGGACATCCTGCGAAGGTGAGACAAGAATTTCACCAGCGCTTCTTTCAGATCACACTTCTTCACTGAGGAAGTTAAAAAAAAGATACAAAAATAACATTTTCAAGTTGAGAGGGTTTCACACAAATCCTATTTTCATCAAATAAAATAAATTTTTTTGACAATCACTGTTGTGATTTCAGAGGACTAATGTTCCTCGTGAGCTGAAAAGTTGTTTCTTGACCATCACGTTGTTCCTTTTATTTCTTCAGTTCTGAGTGATATGAGCCGAACTCTTTGTCCATATGTTGTTCTCAGGGGTTGACATAAGGACATTTTCCAGATTGTCTGCAGCCTTTTCAATAAAGAAGGCAAAAGAGCTGAAGAAAAATGTAATGTACGTTAGGGCTGGGCCATATCACATCGTTCACGATAATACCGGGAAAAAAACTTGTCCAGGAAAATAAATTATATCATGATATGCTAATTTCATGACGTAAATACGTCAGTGTTTCCCCTGCCATTATACAAGCGGGGTGCCCCGCCCCGTTAACAGAACTGAGCGTGCCGAACTACCAAACCGAATGCCCCCCCCCCCCCCCCCCCCACACACACACACACACACACACA